TTTTCCTTCTTGCAGAGCATAATGTTGTGCCTTCCAGAGCACATAGATATGCGTTTAGAGCACATTAATTTTCTTACAGTGCACAGTGTTGACCTTCTAGAGCACATTGTTGAGCCTTCCAAAGCATATTGTTGTGCATTCCAGAGCACATTGTTGTGCCTTCGAAGTGTATATTGTTTTACCTTAGAGTACACATTATTGATAAGTTGAATCTTGTTTGCTTCACATCTTTGTGCCTTTCAGTGCACATTTTTGTCTTACAGTGCACATTGTTGTGCCTTCTAGAGCATATTGCTGTGCCTTCTAGAGCATATTGATGTGCCTTCTAGAGCACATTGTTATGCCTTCTGATGCACATTGTTGAAGATCGTAGGTGGCAATTTAAAAAAAAAAAGCATTTGATCTGAGACTTAGATTTATCCACATGTTTCATTTGCAGCCTTCTTCACACCAGAACCATATATATAAAATTCAGTTCCTGTGCGGTTGTGCGGTTAAATCTAAGCCATTGATCTTGTCTAAATCAACGTCCAGAATTAACAGTGACTAAAAAAAGGCACGGTTGCAATTTGGTCTTTTTGCATCTAGGTCAAATTTAAGGTGCGTAGTTTTTGTGTTTAAGGTGAGTAGTTTTTGTACTGTGTGGCTTAAGGTGCGTCAAGTGTTGAAAACTTAAGTGCGTCGATCTAAAACTTTAGGTGCGTGATTTTCCCTTTTAAGGTGCGTGATTTTCCTTCTTAAGGTGTGTGGTTTGTGTGCTTAAGGTGCGTCGGCCTAAAGCTTTAGATGCGTTGTTTTCCTTCTTAAGGTGCGTGATTTGTATACTTAAGATGCGTCAGTTGTTGAAACTTAAGGTGCGCCATTTTAAAACTTTAGGTGCGTGTTTTGTGTTCTTAAGGTACTTTGTTTGTGTGCTTAAGGTGCGTAGGTTGTGTACTTAAGGTGCGTCATTTTAAAACTTTAGGTGCGTGGTTTGTGTACTTAAGATGCGCCATATTAATGCTTAGTCTTTTTGAGTTAACCACACAATCGCACGAGAAGCTATATTTGCACGTGATTCACTATATATATATATATATATATATATATATATATATATATATATATATATATATATATATATATATATATATATATATATATATATATATATATATAGGTTCCGGATCCGGTGAGTACTTATCCTTAGGTGAGGACGTGCGGACTAATCCAGATCATCCATTTTGAGTGATCTAAAGGCTACGACAAAACAAAAACGCGCTGCCCAAAAAAAAGTGGGATGGATGCACAACAATCACACTATGAATGCACAATAAACCGGGACAGAATGCACAACAAACTAACACTGAATGCACAACAAAATGAGTACGAAAAATTAAATTCATTGCATATAATTAAATCACAGCCGTTGGCTTAATTAAATGAAAGGATCAGATTAGTCCTCACGTCCTCACCTAAGAATAAATCCTCACCTGATCCGGAATATATATATATATATATATATATATATATATATATATATATATATATATATATATATATATATATATATATATATATATATATATATAACCACACAATTGTTATTTCAAAAGGTTGTTATAGTTAAGTGTAACAATATTAAATAACAATATGTGTGTGAATATTCATTTATGTAAAACATAAAAAATAAAACTCCAAGAATCCTTCCAGAATTGGGTCCTGGACTGGAGGCCAACCTGCCCTTACCTAAAAATGGCCTCCTTCTATGTCAGTATCAATTTCTTCATACATCTTCCAAAAATCTTTATACATTTTGTCACATCAATAGTACATTGCTCTCTTCATTTGTGAACACAAATATCAATACAAGCTATCATGAGTGGCAATTGAAAGTTGTACATCATTTTATTGGGAAAAGAGTGAAATAGGCCCTCGAACTTTAGTTTAAAAGTTAATTAGGCCCCTAAACATTTTAAATGTACGATTACACCCATCAACAATTCATTTAAGTGCAATAAAGCCCAAAAACAAATTAATGACCTGCTATCACAGGTCATTAGGATTCAGGCCACATTCCGGTGAATTTTCCGACAAAAAAAAAAAGTGACCCGTAAAATTTTCGACAAAAGAAGTGACCGGCGAAATTTTCGACAAATTTGGGTTGGTTGCTGGTCACCTTTTTACCCAAGAATCTCTAAAGAATTTACCCAAGTATGGCTAAATTATACATAGCAAATATAAATAAAGAATTACAAATCATCAAAAGAGTACAAGAATGAACCAGACAATTTTTTTCCGAATCTCCCTAGTCTTCTTCTTGCTTCCCAAGATAACTTGTGGCTCTGGATTTCTCCCTATCTTGTCTCCAAAAATCTCTAGATGAATATTACGGTTGAGGAATGTGAAATTTTATAATTAGAAGCCCAGAGCCAATCCCGATTGAAATAGAAATTCTGTGCGAAATTGGACTGTATCTGAACCGAAATTAGAATTCTATTTATTTATTTTAAAGAAATTGATGTTATTTAATTTAATATGAATTTGGAATTGAAGTTTGAATAGTATATTAAAGTTTGAATTGGAATTTGAAGTTTGAATTTAGAAGTTGAAGCCACTTTGTAATTGAAAATACTTGCCGCCCCTTTGATCTTGCGCTGCACGACGTCAATTTGAAATTTGCGTCGCTCGACACGTCGAGCAGTGCTGTACGCGAACCCAAAGTTTTCTGGAAATTTTGGACGCGTCGAACTTACTGTATATGTGTTATTCTGTCCATTTTTTATCCCAAATTTGTCCTAAGATTTTCCTTGTTCATAACTTTGATCTACAAGCGTTCAAAAACACTAACAAAAATCGTAAAACATTCAAAACGAGTGTGAACCATAACTAAATAATAAAAACAAGAAATTATGCAATTAAATATCAAAATTATGGACTCAAGCCTAACAAATATAATTAATTCAATACTCAAAATATGTACAATTAGGCTTACATCAAACCAACAAACAATTTGAATGCTAATGCAAGTGTGACAATTTGGTGAGCATTTTCCAGCCTACAAGCTTGATCTCCAAGAGGTGAGTAATAATGCATTCATGGGTAAATAGTACAATAGAAGGAAGCATAAGATAAGCATAATACAAAAGATCAATTACTAGGATTGAGATTTCTTATTTTCAGCAACTAAGACCTTTAAAGATTCATTTTATTTCTAACATAATATTGTTATTTCTTGTTTTAGCTCTTTTGTAAACCTTAAATAGCAGCATGCAGGTAAGTTGGAATTTGAATAAAATCAAAAGGGAGTTTAAACTTCTAAATCACTCATCAAATGACTCATCAAAAGTATCCATCAAAGGACGCAGGGTGCCACACTAGGACAGTCGTCTAGCCAGTCCACTTCACCGCACGGGTTGTGTGCTATTGTTGCTGAGTTTCCATCCTTTGTGGGGATTCCACTTCTATTTCCTGGGGCCGCGACGAGAGCACTTGGCCCTACAATCCCGCCACTGCCTGAGTTAGTGCCGTCGCCGCTTGCTAGATGGCTTCGGCGGTCGCCTGGAGGTTCATGATTTGGTTTGTTCCTCCATTATTGAGTTGTTCTCGGAGGTCCCCTCCACGGTTGTTGGTGAGTTGGTCTCGAAGATCACCTGAGGCATTGCCGTTGTTTAAGTTGCGGGAACCATGGGAGCTGCTGGATCCTGAGCGTCCCATTCTTTCAAGCTTGTTGCTGAAAGAGAAAGTTGTGTGTATTTGCCTGCTTGAGTATTGATCTCAGGCTCTCAATGAAAGCACCAATGACGGTAAGTATGTTACCAGAAATATAATATAAGAATAACGAATTGTATTGCTTTAGTATTTCAGTACAGAATATTCAGCGTGTCCCCCCTCTAGTTGAGGAGAGCTCTACTTATATCAAGTCTCTAACGGTAATAACATAATGAGAAGTTGAGCCTTTATTTCTCTTTCTTCAATGGGCACAGTAAATGACCCGTAGTAATGTTTCTCCCCGTTGGCATTCTGTTCGTTGGAGTTCTGCCCGTTGGATTTCTACGTGGTGCCGAGTCAGGTGCCTGTTGACAACTCGGGTCAGGTGCTAGCCCTATTAGTCCATTACTCTGTCAATAATGAATCTCCTATATTATCTTGAATTCATATACTTTGAATTATCTATTTAAATAAATAAATTCGACATTCATCAATTACCTATGTATGAACTTATCCTACCTATATAATCTTGCATTGATATATTTCTAAATACTTATTTAAAATATAAACATTGCACATTAGCTAATTTGTAAAACTAGTTATTAAGGTAAGTATGCATTTTAAAAATGTACTTTTATAGCAGAGTGGGGCAGGGTAGATTTTGAAAGGAAAATACTTGGTGTACTTCCATTTTAAACTCCCAAATTGTACTCCCTCTCACATGCTCTTGATGTAGACACTTTTCTGTGGACCCACAAGATAAAAATAACCAATCCTGATTTGCCACCTCAGGGAGTATAGATGAGGGAGTAGAATTTTGGGAGTCTATGTAGTAGAACTCATTTTGAAATGATAAGATAGGTGGGGTGGTGAATATAGGCACTCCATTGCTTCCCATACCACACATATCTCTATTTGGAATATAAATAAAGTGAATGAGGAATAGAGATTATTTATCTAAATATTTTTTTAAAAAATCAGAGTAGATCGAAATTAAATGCAAGCATATAAAATATAAGATCGCGTCATTATTAAAACTCCTAATTATCAAAAATAAAACATTAACCAAATATAAAACATAATATCTTAAATAAATTCATAGGAAGCCCAAATGAAATCCATTTTAGTATATATTAGGCACAATTAATCTAATTCAAGTGATATATATCTCCCTTGGGCATGAGGTTCGAACCTAAGACCTTTCTTATTGAAATTAACGATCTCAACCAACGCTCTCTACCTAGGGTTTTCTAGGTTTTCTTTCCGGTCGATTCATCGACTTCTTTCTACGGTAGAATCCGTACCTACGATCAGCGCTGGACGTCTGCTTGCATGCGGATGGCATCAACAACGGAGGAACCTGCAGTGGCAGCCCTAACGGCCCGATGGGCGTACATCGTTTTGGAGGAGGAGGCAACGGCCTTCTTGCCGATTGAAGAGCCGGAGGCCGAGGGGGAGGGCGGGGATGTGGAGGAGAGCTGGGGGGTTGTGGGGAGATTCTTGACACGGAAGCTAGTCAGGTTGGAATTTATGAGTCAGGTCTTGGCATCGGTTTGGCAGCCGGTCAGTGGGGTTGAGGCAACGGAGATAGAACCTTGCCGTTTCCTGTTTGTTTTCCATCATGTAACGGACATGGAACGTGTTCTGAATGAGGGGCCCTGGTCCTTTGATAATAGCACACTGGTATGCAAGCAAGTCCCTGACGGAGTCATGCCGGTTGATGTAGTATTGGATACGGTGGATCTATGGGTCCAATTGCACGGAGTGCCGAAGGGATACTCGTCCTCTCGGATCTTGGAACAGATTGGAAATTTCTTGGGCAAGTTTGTTAAGAGTGATGACCGCTTCGACAATGTACCGTGGAAGGTGTTTCATCGTATTAGGGTTTCGTTGTCTGTTGATAAGTCCTTGAAAAGACGGATGAATTTTATTAAACGGGATAAGATAAGCTGCTGGGTCACATTCAAGTATGAGCGCCTACATACGTATTGCTATTTTTGTGGGATGCTTGGACACTCGTATCAGTTTTGCCGGGGAGCCAGGGACTCAAAAATCTCGGTTGGGGAATACTTGATCGGCCCGGAATTGCGGGCGGGGGGGAGTCGTGGTCCTAGGCCGGTGGGCGGTAGCTGGCTCCTACCGTCAGGAAGGCACGCCGTGGGGTGGAAACAGCAGACTGACCACGTGGCTGCGGGGCAGTCTACGGTGGTTGATAACCGGTCCGTAGAGGCCGTAGAGGCGGATGTTGTAGCGGTGGCCAAGCGCCGCCGGGAGGATGTGGAGGGTGGGGGACGGTGGTATGAAGGAGAGGATGTTGTTATGGCCGAGCTTTCAAAAAACTTGCAGCTGGCGGGTTCTGGTTCCCAGACCCGCCCGGATCAATGAGTACCCTCAGCTGGAACTGCCGTGGCTTGGGTAATCCACGGACAGTTCGGGAACTTGTGGACATGGTGTCCCGTAAGCAACCCGACTTTGTATTTCTGATGGAGACTAAAGTTGCACGTGATCATGCAGAGCGTTTTCGAGTTAAGATTGGTTATGAGGGGCTTTTCTATGTTGATAGTGATGGTTTAAGCGGTGGTATAGCGTTATTGTGGAAAAGGAATAGTACGGCCCGGCTACTAAGTTACTTAACGAACTATGTTGATGTTGTGGTAACTATTGCTGGCTTTCCGGAATGGCGAATGACAGGCTATTATGGTTACCCTGAACGAACAAAGCGCACTGAGTCATGGGATCTCTTGAGAACTTTATCGGGTCGGTTAAACCTCCCATGGGTTGTCATTGGAGATTTTAATGATTTACTATATCAGAATGAGAAGAGAGGGGGGAATCCGCAATCGAATAGCCTTCTACGTGGTTTTGGGGAGGCTATTGAGGACTGTGGGCTTGCTCAGTTGCCTATGAATGGATATCCGTACACATGGGAGAAGGGGAAGGGGACTGAAAACTGGATGGAGGAGAAGCTCGATAAGGTACTGGTAACAAATGAGTGGCGGGGTATAGTGATAGGGGCCAAGGTGATGAATCTGAGAACCCGGAAATCTGATCATTCGGCTCTCTTTCTGGGGATCCATGAGTCTGTTGGGAGAATGGGACCTGGTAGGAGGGGATTCTGTTTTGAGATGGCATGGTTGCATGATGAGGGGTGCAGGAATGTGGTAGAGCAGTCTTGGCAAGAGGGGAGGGGGCAGGGTTTACAAAGCTGTATTCAGTACTGTGGGAATCGGTTAACACGTCGGGGTGGAGATCGGTACCACAAGTATGGAAAATGAATTAGTGAGCTGACAAGAGAACATCAGCGACTCAGGGGACGCACCGACCCGGCCTCGCTCGCAGAGTTTCAGCGCCTAGAACAACTGCTAAGTTGTACTGAAGCTCAGGAGGATGCCTATTGGAGACAGAGGGCCAAGCAACACTGGCTGAAGGAGGCGGACTCTAATACGAAGTTTTTTCACAGGTATGCCTCTCACCGAAAAAAGAAGAATACTATTTCTAGATTGATGAATGATGATGGGGATTGGGTGGAGGGGGAGCCTATGAAAAATGTTATTTTACAATATTATAAACGTATTTTCTGTGCTGGAACCCCGAGAACTGGGGAGGGGTTTTTTGAGGGGATTGCTCCGCGAGTCACGCAGGCACAGAATGAGTCTCTGCTACGGCTTTTTGAGTTGGATGAGGTTAAGAGTGCACTGTTTGCAATGTTCCCGAATAAGGCACCGGGCCCGGATGGAATGAATCCGGGTTTCTATCAGCACTTTTGGGATGTGGTAGGGGGGGATGTGGCGAGCTTTATAATAAATTGTGTTGAATCCTGTGATTTCTCGCCTGGTTTGACTGAAATCGATGTTGTATTGATCCCTAAGAAGAACACCCCGGAATATGTGACTGACTTGCGCCCTATAGCTCTCAGTAATGTGGTTTATAAAATTATGGCAAAAATGCTGGCTAACAGAATGAAGCCGTTAATGGAGGATGTAATATCTGAGTCACAAAGTGCTTTTATCCCGGATAGGCTGATTACGGATAATATACTTTTAGGTGCGGAAGTGGGGCATTTTTTGAACAGGAAACAGTGTGGAGTGGGGGGATGGAGTGCTCTCAAATTGGACATGGCAAAGGCATATGATCGTGTAGAATGGTCATTCCTTCGCAAAATGATGCTGGCTTTGGGCTTTCATGGTGGCTGGGTGGAATTGATTATGAAGTGTGTAACATCAGTTTCATACAATATTCAGGTGAATAGCTCAAGGTGTGATCCTATTATACCCACTCGTGGATTAAGGCAAGGGGATCCTTTGTCCCCATATCTATTTATTATTTGTGCAGAAGGATTGTCCCTATTGTTACAGCAGGCACATAATGTGGGAGCAATACATGGATGCAGGGTAGCGAGGGGTGCCCCCCCAGTTTCCCATTTATTCTTTGCGAATGATAGTCTTCTGTTTTTTAAGGCCAATGTGGAGGAAGCAAATGAAATTAAAAGGTGCTTATCTGTGTATGAGGATCTATCTGGGCAGGCGGTTAATTATCACAAGTCAAGCATATGCTATAGTAGAAATACAAGTAGTGTTGACAGGAACAATGTGGCTCAGATTCTAGGAGTGACGCAGGCCCCGAATTTTGGCAAGTATTTGGGACTCCCCTCCTTTGTTGGACGACACAAGAAAGCAGTTTTTGCATATGTTGAGGATAAAATCAGGCAAAGGATTGGCTCATGGAATAAGAAACTGTTGTCGCAGGCAGGTAAGGAGATTTTATTGAAAACTGTGGCACAATCTATGCCCACGTTCTCAATGAGTGTTTTCTTGCTACCCATATCAGTGTGTACGGCGGTGGAAAGAACTATGAATCGGTATTGCTGGGATTCTGGAACTGACAGGCGAATACATTGGAAGGCATGGGACAAGTTGTGTGTCCCTAAGAAGTATGGGGGTTTGGGGTTTAAGGATCTGCGTGCGTTTAACTTAGCAATGCTGGGAAAACAGGCATGGCGAATGTTGACTAAACCTGAATCTCTAGTGGCACGGGTGTATAAGGCTCGTTATTTTCCGAAAGGAACGTTCTTTGATGCACAAATGGGAAATAATCCCAGCTTCTGCTGGCGAAGCATCATGGCAGCAAAGAGTATAGTTTGTGGTGGGGTCAGGCGCAGAATTGGTAACGGGGAGACTACATTTATATGGACCCACCCCTGGTTACTGGATGAGAATGACCCTATGATACAAACGGAAATGCCAGTACAATTGCAGGAAGCCAGAGTGGCAGGGTTGATTGATCAACATATGGCTACTTGGGATCCCTCAATCTTAACAGATTTATTTCAACCTGATGATGTGGCAAATATTATGAGAATACCCATCTCCTCGGATTATGATGATGCCTGGTACTGGCATGGGGACCCAAGAGGTGTGTACTCTGTTAAAAGTGGATATAGGACTAGTAGTTGGGGACTATCAAGAAAATAATGAGACATTTACTAAATGGCTACCCTTATGGAAACTCAAAATCCCACCAAAATGGAGAATTTTTCTCTGGAGAGCTATTAGTGATATATTGCCTACCACTACAAACTTTCTTATGAAGAGGGTGGATGTGGACCCACGATGTGCCATGTGTGGAATATTTCATGAGAACACAATGCATGCCTTAGTGTTGTGTGATCTTGCAAAAAACATTTGGGACAAATCCAACCTTACAATCCCCAATATAGTCACAAATGTTTTTCATGTTTGGTTTGGTGAACTTCTAAAAATTCTAGACTCTGATGGGATGTTATATGCAGCAGCAATTCTTTACAATATATGGTGAGCAAGGAACCGGGCGGTTTGGGAGGCGACGTTACCACGCCCTGAGACTGTGCTAAGAGCCGCCGCTGCCGCCAAGCTAGCGTGGACACGGGCACATCCACTGCCCATGACCCGTGCTGCCCAGCTGCTACCCGAGCCGGCCCTGCTGCAGGAGGATGCCAAACTGCATGGCACCGAAGCCTATGCTGCCGAACCGTCACATGGACTGCCGAGGAGAATTTGTCGAGTGGATGGGGGTTTTATGCAAGAAACAAGCCGTGCTGCGGTTGGGGCAGTCCTACTCGACACGGATGGGGGTTATGTCTCGGCGTACACCGCACCACTCCGGAATTGCTCCTCACCACTTATGGCTGAGGCGCTGGCATGTAAAGAAGCTCTATTGTGGTTGAAGGATCGGGGAGAACAGAATGTTGAGATATACACAGATTGTTTGACACTGCACCGCTATCTTACTACACCAACTGTTGGGTTGTGCACGTACCTAGGCTATGCCATTGACAGTTGCAGACGTATTGCATCTTTGTTTCAGTCTTGTTCGTTTTGTTTTTGTCCTAGATTAGACAATTATCTAGCTCATGCTTCAGCTACTACGGCTTATCAACAGTTCGTTCCTATGTACTGGGATTTACTCCCACCTGATATTATTTCGGCCTATTTTTAATGGAGCACCATATATTTTTCAAAAAAAAAAAAAAAAATCTCCCTTGGGCACGTACTGCACTACTCCAAATTCTACTCTGTTCCGCCACCGGACAACCACCGCAATGGGGAAAGGAGCCGCCCTCTCTGACGGAGTGGTGAAGAAGATAATCCTCTCCTACACCTACGTGGCTATCTGGATCTTCCTATCCTTCACCGTCATTGTCTACAACAAGTACATCCTCGACCGGAAACTCTACAACTGGCCATTCCCCATCTCCCTCACCATGATCCACATGGCCTTCTGCTCCTCCCTTGCCTTCTTCCTCGTTCGCGTCGCCGGAGTCGTCCACCTCCCTGCCGCCACCCTCTCTCGCCGCGTCTACCTAACCTGCATCATCCCCATCGGCGCCCTCTACTCCCTCTCCATATGGTTCTCCAACTCCGCCTACATCTACCTCTCCGTCTCCTTCATCCAGATGCTCAAAGCCCTCATGCCCATCGCCGTCTACACAATCGGAATTCTACTCAACAAGGACTCCTACAAACCCTCCACCATGGTCAACATGGTCTCCATCTCAGGTATCAAACTAGTAATATAAATTTTTCTGACCAAATACAAATTTTAGTTCCACGAGTATTAACAAAAAAATAATTTTGGTCTCACATGTTCAATTCCTACCAATTTTCATCCACAACGATTGTTTTAGTATCAAATTTTATCTACGACTATTGTTTTAGTGTCAAAATTCATCACGCTGATAACCCTTCCGTTAAGACATGCCGAAATCGAAAATTTTAAGGGTATTTTCGTCCTTTTTAACTTAAGATCCCAATTTGAGCATGAATAAAGAGATTTAAGCCCTAAGATCAATCCCAATACGCAGTTGTCTTCCTCATCCGGTTTGCTATCATCTTAGCCATAATTCTGTAAAGCACATTACTCAAAGCAATCGGTCTCATATCCCCCACCGTCTCAGGTACATTTTTCTTAGGAATTAGAACCACATTTGTATCATTCAATCCATGTGGGAAGACCCCTGAGTTGAGGGAATTTACAATGAACACAGACACATCCTGCCCAACTACATCCCAAAAATGCTGGTAGAATCCTAGATTCATACCATCTGGCCCCGGGGCCTTATCGGGAAACATAGAAAATACAGCTGCTTTAACCTCCTCAATATTAAAAGGGCGCATTAAACCAATATTATGGGTCGGGAAAACCCGTGGAGTAAAATCATCAAATAACGGATCACTGCATACAGAATTACTATAGGCAAATATTTTTTCAAAATAATCCAAAACAATCAAATTCATATTCTCCCCTTCAACCCACTCCCCAACATCATTCTTTAATTTGGCAACATAATTCTTTTTCTTACGGGCAGAGGCATACCTGTGATAAAATTTCGTATTGGCATCAGCCCCACGTAGCCAGTGCTGCTTTGCACGCTGCCTCCAAAAAATATGAAACTCAGCTATCGCATCTGGATCACGCATGTGTCTAATAGCTTCCTGACTCGTTCGCAACCGCTTAATACGGTCCCCTAACCTGTGAAAATGGTCGCCACCCCACCGCATCAGACTGTGTCCACAATTTTGCTGACAATTCAGCAAACCCTCAGTCCGACTATTCGGCCAAGCCGTCTCAACCACCTCCCTACACCCCTCATCCAACAACCAGGCCATCTCAAATCTGAAACCCCTCAGACTCCTTCCCCTTTGCATGCATGGTGCATTGATGTTGAGGAATAAAGCCGAGTGATCCGATTTACGAGTCAGAATATTCTGTACCTCCGCATGGTGATTAACATCCCCCCACGATGCTGCTGTCAAAACCTTATCCAACCTTTCGTCAATCCAATTACTAGTGCCCTTACTCTTTTCCCATGTAAACTGATGACCTCGCATAGCCATCTGCGCCAAACCACACCCTTCCACTGCCTCCCCAAAACTGCGCAGGAGACTATCTGGGTGCGGGTTCCCCCCCCCCCCCCCCCCCCCCTTTTTTTCTCGTGTTGATATAGGAGGTCATTGAAATCCCCTATTACAACCCAAGGAAGTGAGGATCTCCTGCCTAGCGTTCCTAGTATTTCCCATGATTCCCTTCTTCTATGTCGTTCTGGGAAACCATAAAAACCTATCATTCGCCATACCTTATCATTACCCATTCGTACCTCCACATCCACATGGTTTTTAGAGTAGCTCAGAAGTGTAGCAGTATTGTTTTTCTTCTAAAGCAACGCTAAACCACCACCATAGCTCGTGTTGTCAACATAAAATAACCCCTCGAAACCAAGCTTGATACGTAGGCGTTCTGCGTGATCCTGTCCAACCATAGTTTCCATTAAAAATACAAAATCTGGCTTCTTATGGGACACCATGTCCACAATCTCCCGAACTGTCCGTGGATTGCCCAAACCACGGCAGTTCCAACTTAGAGTACTCATTGGGTCGGGCGGGCCTGGGAACCAGTGCTCGCCTGCGGTAAGTTTTTTGAAAAATCTATCATCACAATATCATCCCCATCCAACCCATGCCGCACACCTCCGTTTCCCAGACCTTCTCGCCGACGCTTGGACACGGGTACCACGGCAACCTCATCGTCAGTACCATCCATACCCGCCGGCCTCCCTTCCGCCGTTTGCCGCCCCACGGTAACACCCCTCGCCCGAGCAGTACTACATATTGCCGTAGCCAGCGGTAGCAACCAGCTGCCGCCAACTGGCCGCAGTCCCCGGGTTCCACCCGCTCGTAGCTCCGGCCCATACGGATAATCCTCCACCGGCACCACCGAGTCCCTCGCACCACGACAAAACTTGTAGGCATGCCCAAGCATCCCACAGAAAAAACAATATGTATGTAGCCACTCATACTTGAAATAAACCCAACAGGTCGTCTTATCACGCTTTATGAATTTCATTCGGCGTTTCAAAGGTTTATCCACTGACAGTGTATCCCTAATTCAATAGAACATTTTCCATGGCGCATTCTGAAACCGATCATCCCTTTTCACAAGCACCCCCAGGTAGTTTCCAATCTGCTCTTGAACCAACTCAGATGTATACCCTGTTGGCAAGTCATGGATTTGTACCCACATATCAACCGTATCAAGCTTAACATTCACGGGCAGAATACCATCAGGAACTTGTTTGCACACAAAAGTACTATTATCAAACGACCGTGGCCCCTCATCAAGGACCCGGTGCACATCCGTTATATGATGAAAAATGAATAGAAACAGCCCCGGTTGTATCTCAGAAGCCTGTCCCCTACTTACCGGTTGCCAGACGGATGCCATAACCTGACTCATAAATTCAAGCTTAACAAGCTTCCTCGTCACGAAACGACCTACCACTCCCCCACGACTCCTCCTACACCGCGTCGTCCTGCCCACCGCCGTTCTCCTCCTCCTGGGGCACGAACGCTGCCTCCTCCTCCTCCAAGACGAGGTTGGCTCACCTGGCCGTGATACCTGCCACCGCCGTAGCGTCAGATGTCGACGAAGCCATGCGACCAGACATTCAGAGATTTCACATAGTAGTATTCCGTCCGCTCACTGTAGCCTTCCGTGCGCTTGGTCCGTTCAGTTCGTACGTGATCGCCGGGAGTTACCAGAGAGATTGTCCAGAGAACCGACCGAAACCCTAGAAACCCTAGGTAGATAGGTGATTATCGTTCCCAATTAGCTGTTAGCTTATTACATGCAAAATCATTTTTTTCAAAAAATTGATCGAAAAAGTTACTTACAATTTTTTGAATTTTAGCATTTTGGAACAATAAATTATTACAAAAACTTAATTAATTAAGGCTTTTAATCAAGTCAAACATCTAATAGTACTCAAATAAATTAAAATTCTTTGTCACTCAAATTTCTCCCACTCTCATCATCGCCCTTTGAGCCTTCTTCTGGGCTTCCTTGGCATTCAGGCTTCAACGCCTGCAATTTGGAGTGATTATAGTACCCAACCCCCCAGAACGCCACCCCATAGCCAAGCAAGTTAACAGGGGTGACACTATCCTTAATCACAGACCAAGAAAACGCAATGAAGAGCCAATCTTTAACCACTCCACCCACATTTATGGTCAGGGCCGAAGTCTTGCCCACCAGCAAGAAAACAGCCAAGTTGAGCGCAAAGGCGCAGAGGGAATTGGTGTCGAAAACCAAAAAATCGAACCGGAAGCCGCCGGAGCTCTCTCGGAGAAGCGGCAATTCGACCAGAACCCAAGGGATACACAGGAAAACGAAGCAGCTGGGAGCGACATAGTACAAGGATTTTATGGGGTTTAAGCTTATCCCCTTGGAGGTTAGCAAGATCTGTATCATAACCAGCCGGGTGGACTCGGGATCGAAACCCACCGCCATTAATTGCAAAAACACTCCCCAGGAGTCATTTTTTGCCTCGCCGTACGGGGCCACTGCAACGCCGATTGAAAGGGCAAGAATAGAATAATAAATAGTAGTAGAAGCAGAATCTTTATATATAATAAAGCAGAATCGTGCGATGAAAACAGAAAATGGAAAACAGAAAACAGTTTTCTGTTAGTAAACGGACTCAGAATATTTTCTAAAAAATGACACATTTTCTGGAAAACATTTTCTAGAAGTCATTTTTCGGGTTTCTAAACGGAACTTAAAAAGGAAAAGCTTTTTTTTTTTTTTTTTTTTGAATGCTTAAAAAGGAAAAGCTTAGTTTGGAAGTACTTAATAGGTTGCGAGTTACCCTAGACTGCTGCGTAATTTTTAATTCAATGTAAATGTATACAAATATCTAATTAAACAAAGATAAGAACCAATTACAATGTAGTTGATTCTTGGGATATTCAGAAGCCCAATCCAGTTGGCGATGACTAATGAGGTGAGATGTGGCGAATATGGAATCCTCAAGTGGATCAATATATATGTTTTTTAATGTTGTCTTTTAGCCACTGGAATCTCCATAGGCTATATAGTGACGTTCGCAATATAATGTCAACGCTTAATCCCTATATAAACGGTCATTGTTTCCCAAGATTCAGCAGACTTTTAAGTATCCTTAAATAGTACTAATTTCAATTCGAAGAGACATTAATGGCGGATATAGAAGGTTCTCCTGGAAGCTCCATGCATGGAGTGACCGGCAGAGAGCCGGTTCTGGCTTTCGCCGTGGCCTCCCCGATTGTGCCAACTGATACGACGGCGAAATTTGCCCTGCCGGTGGATTCAGAGCACAAAGCCAAAGTGTTCAAGCTCTTCTCCTTGGCTAATCCCCACATGAGAACTTTCCACCTCTCATGGATCTCATTTTTCACCTGTTTCGTGTCCACGTTCGCCGCCGCTCCGCTTGTTCCCATCATCCGCGACAACCTTAATCTGGTTAAGTCCGACATTGGGAACGCCGGAGTGGCCTCCGTCTCCGGGAGTATTCTCTCCAGGCTGGTGATGGGCGCGGTGTGTGATCTCCTGGGCCCGCGTTACGGCTGCGCTTTTCTCATCATGTTAACCGCCCCCACCGTGTTTTGCATGTCGTTCGTGTCCTCCGCCGGCGGCTACGTGGCGGTCCGGTTCATGATCGGATTCTCACTCGCCACCTTCGTCTCCTGCCAGTACTGGATGAGCACCATGTTCAACAGCAAAATCATAGGGCTTGCCAACGGGACCGCCGCGGGATGGGGGAATATGGGAGGCGGCGCCACCCAGCTTCTAATGCCGGTTCTTTACGACATAATCCGGAAAGCCGGGGCAACTCCGTTCAGCGCCTGGAGGATCGCTTTCTTCATTCCGGGTTGGCTTCACGTCGTGATGGGAATTCTGGTCCTCACCCTCGGCCAAGACTTGCCCGACGGCAACTTAGGATCGTTACAAAAGAAAGGTAACGTTAACAAAGACAAATTTTCAAAGGTGTTTTGGTACGCTATCACAAACTATAGAACCTGGATCTTTGCCCTCCTCTATGGATATTCTATGGGTGTTGAATTGTCAACTGATAATGTCATTGCTGAGTATTTCTTTGACAGGTTAGTTGCTTTCTTTAATTTATTTTATGTTTTACTTTTTATATATATATTTTTTTGTAGGTCACTGCTGAAAATTATGGAATTTCCGACCACCTGAAAGTGATTTAAGCAAAAGTGGTCGGAAATAGCAAAAAAAGTTTTTTCGGATACCAAAAGTGGTCGGAAGAAGCTTTCGACTTTTCGACTTAATTTAAGATCAGTTTCATCTGATTGGAAATTTCATAATTTCCAGCAGCGGGTATAGATGTTTTTAGTGTAACATTTAGTATCTAATAAGACTAATTCAGATTTTGTTAAAATTATGTTAATTATGTAGAGACAATTTGACTTGGTAATTATAAGTTTTCAACTCTGAATTATATTAAAGTAATTTATTGACATTCTTATTAGTTTACCTACTTGTAATTTTTAGTATGTTAGGGTTTTGTATGGTTAATTTAAATTTTGTGTTTCCAGGTTTGATCTAAAGCTCCACACCGCTGGGATAATTGCGGCGACCTTTGGAATGGCGAATCTGGTGGCGCGGCCATTCGGAGGATTTGCGTCGGACTACGCCGCGAAGTTCTTCGGAATGAGGGGGAGGCTATGGACCTTATGGATCTTGCAAACGATGGGAGGACTTTTCTGCTTCCTTCTGGGGCGGGCGAATACGCTTCCCTTAGCCGTGACATGGATGATCATCTTCTCCATCGGAGCTCAGGCGGCCTGCGGGGCCACTTTCGGCATCACACCCTTCATTTCCCGGCGGTCGTTGGGGATCATCTCGGGGCTGACCGGGGCCGGAGGCAACTTCGGGTCCGGATTGACGCAGCTAATATTCTTCTCGACCTCAAAGTTCTCGACGGCGTCGGGGCTGTCGTACATGGGGATAATGATCATGGCGTGCACTCTTCCGGTGACTCTGGTCCACTTCCCGCAATGGGGAGGCATGTTTTTCCCTGCGTCAAAGGATGCTGTGAGAGGAACCGAAGAGCATTATTATTGTTCTGAATGGAACGAGGAGGAAAAGCAGAAAGGTATGCACCAAAACAGCCTCAAATTCGCCGAGAACAGCCGCTCTGAGCGGGGGAAACGCGTCGCTCCGGCTGCTACGCCGCCTAATGTCACGCCTGATCGTTTCTGATGATTCCCTGAACAATCCAAACTCTATATTCTTGGAATCAAATACACATTAAATTAATCCACGATTCAATTCACTGTTTATCTGCAGTATTTTGTGCTTTGAGTTTTATGTTGGGTAAATCATTAAAACCAACAATATCGGTAACTGCTGGGTACGGTGTTAGTTTTCGCAAGCCAAAAATGTAGAACTATGGTCAAAATCATTCATGTTATTGTGTAATATCTCTAATTTACCGGGTATGTTTGTGAGTAAACAGAACTGTATTGCTTCAGAGTCTGAGTACAAGTTTTAGTGTGTCCTCTGTCTATCAGAGGGTCTAATATTGGTACTCGTCCCCTGTCTATTAGAGGGTCTAATATTTATACTCCAAGAGTACAAGGGCTTCTATGCCTAACGTAACGAATATCTAATAACTAAAGAGGTTTGGAAGGACGAGTCCAACCAGCATCCTGACATTGCAATGTGGCGTTAACTACTGTACAAGCAAAGTATATGAAATTAAAGAGGTGTATTTGCTACTAACACTAATATAGAGGGGATAATTAGTTTTTATTATTAAATTTTTGTTTTAAACTAAATATATTTCCGTCAATTTTGAATATACTAGTAGTTGCACCCGTGCGATGCACAAGTATATGTATAGTATAATATATATACCGTATATAGAATATACAGTGTAATATAATCAGATGGAAAATATACAGTTTGAAAACCTAATAAATTTAAAATGATAAACTTTTAAATTTTATTACACGTTGTGGAATACTTATTTGTACACAACATTTTTAGTCGTACTTAGACATGTTACATTTTTGCCACAAATCAAAATTTTTGAGCCCCTTGTGTTACTAACTCTTGAAACAATCCCACTTCTGAGAGTGTTTGTCCTTGGCTTTTGTTTATTGTCATGGCATATAAGATAGCATCAAAGAAAATTACTTTATTTGAAATTTGAAATGCAATCTTGGATCTGACGGTGTTAGTGATATTTTGGAGAATTAAGACCTTTGTTCCTCCTAATTATTTTCTATATTAACATCAAATGCAATCTTTTTATATATGAGATTCACAATTGTTGTTGAAGCTTGAATTGTGCATCCTCAAACAGATGGTTCCACACAGCTTCCCAAATAATCTATCATTATGTAATTGAGTTCTCCTCAAATTACATTCTACCATCTATTGACTTGCTTATTCTATTGCATCAACATATTCTCTGTCATCATTAACTAACACTCTAACGTAACACACATCTCTAAAAATATTGTAATGTACACCATCAATTATTTTTATATTAGAATAACTTGTAGGACTGCGAACTTGATTCAATAAATAAAACATAATAAGACAATAATATATCTTAAATTGTTAATTATATTAATGAAAACAATTTAAACTTGCAACTATTACAAATTAATTAATGATTAAGCATTTAGTAATAACAATTTTTTTACAAATGATTGAAAACTTTCCAATAAATAACATTTTTAGTTGTACTTATTGATTCTCCATTTGCCCATGTGCGATGCATGGCATAAATTAAAATTTATGTAACATTACTGTTGATCATGTTTTTATTTTAAAATGATAAAATCAAACATTAATCATGAATATTCATTTTGAGATGTATTTTTCTTTAGAAATATGAATTGAAATTGGATGTTATATTGAATATCCTGTGATACTATTAGCATATATTATAAAGCATTGTGTTATTAGATACCACATCATGTTTGAAAATTTTACATTTAAATATATATATATATATATATATATATATATATATATATATATATATATATATATATATATATATATATGGATGTACTTAGGTGCGAATAACTGTCCAGGAAGGAATATGCGAACGAATCAGCACGCGACACGTGTCCATATCTAATAGCTTAAACAAATGCGGTGGCATTTTCGTAAATAATTGAACATCGAAGTGCAAGTAAAATCACTTACAAGTGCACCTACTTTCATCTATAAGTGCATGTAATTTTGTCTTGTTAACATTCACTTCCCACATGGGTGCACCTACTTATAACTATAGGTGCAACTATTTATAACTATAGGTGCACCTACTTTCACCTATAAGTGCATGTAATTTGCCTTGTTAACATTCATTGATCTGAGTCCAACGGGTAGTAATACCCATAAAAACCACCCGTAAACATTCATGCACCTAGGTGCAACTACTTATAACTAAATGTGCAACTACTTAGAACTATAGGTGCAACTACTTATAACTATAGGTGTACTTAGTATTGATGCTCAGTATAAATTTTTACTTGCACCTATAATACATTTTACATGCACTTGTAATACATGTTACTTACACTTCGATGTTCAATTATTTACAAAAATACCACCGCGCTTATTTTTAAAAATCAGTGTTTCACATCCATTAGATCTGGACACGTGGACGGACAAAATTCATTCCTATTTGGCACATATATACATATATATATATATATATATATATATATATATATATATACATACATACATACATACATACATGTATGTATGTATGTATGTATGTATATATATATATATATATATATATATATATATATATATATATATATATATATATATATATATGGCCATCATTTTTCTAATAGCCAATAATGGTATATATATATATATATATATATATATATATATATATATATGGCCATCATTTTTCTAATAGCCAATAATGGCGGAAAAAAAATAGCCAATAACAAACAAAGGCTCTTTGGTTACTGGATTACATTTATTAAGAGAAAATTGTAAAAAATGCCCCTCTATAATATGTCAATTATCAATGTCACTCTTGAATTATGAGTGGTGTAAATGTTGCCCCTCAATTATTAAAACGGTGCACATATAGCCCCTCCCGTAACGGACATGTGGTTCCCCATTAGTGTATGACACCGTTAAGTCGGAGTAAATATGTAATTTAGTTGTTTTTTCCCTCCCTCGATTCGAAGTACCAGCGATGGACAGCGGTGGAGAACCACAGGTCCGTTACGGGAGGGGCTATATGTGCATCATTTTGATAATTGAGGGGCAACATTTACATCACTCATAATTCAGGGGTGACATTGATAATTGACATATTATAGAGGGACATTTTTTACAATTTTCCCTTTATTGAATAAATACCCGTGGGACTCGTTGGTATTTGCAATAATTGAAAATAAGTATTGATGTCCAATGAGACTCTTTGGTATCCACAATAATTAAAAATAAATATAACTATCCTATAAATACCTCAACTTCAATCTCAAAGTTAAATATACCTTATCATGAAGAAGGTGGCAAAAAGATGAAACATCTACCAAAAAACAAAGGTAAGTACAAAATGTATCCTTTTTATTATGTTTACAGTTTAGGTATACAAAGAAAATTTCTTCTCCCATCTATCTGCATACTTGCAGATTGGAAAAAAAACTCTTTTTGTTAATTGGAAAAATGTGGAGCTACACGACTGAACAAACCCAAATCATCTGCGGTAAGAGAGAGTACAAGGTAAGGTAAAACGATTGCAGTAAAATAGACTACAAGGTAGAGGTTAACAAATTCAGAATAAAAAGAATTTATCTTCTATAATAACATCGTAATCTTGCAAAAAATCTTGTGGTATAACTCTATTTTTTTCCGATCCATCCAGTGTCGATAAGGATTTTTCAGCCACTGAATTGTTTAGAAGAACAGACGTGAGAAACATATCGTCCCCGTAGAGGATCTTGACGTTTTTCAAGAGGCGGTGGAATATGAGTAGATTCTATTGGTGGATAAAAGAGAGATGAAACCAGAGAAGAAGCTGACGAATTTTTTTGATTGGAAGAATATGAGGAAGATGAACCGTTTTCAACTTATATAAACCTGTTAGGGTTTAGGGTGTTAGTTGGGCTTGGGTAACAGTAAAATGGGCTTGGGAAAAATAATTTTGTTAAGTCTCATTTGTTTATTAAATAAAATTTTTGTTGGACTGATTTTTAATATGTAGTTATATTTTTTTATTTTCGTTATAAGTTATATATATATATATATATATATATATATATATATATATATATATATATATATATATATATATATATTTAATAGGTAAATTTTTTTTATTATGATTATTAATTTTGTAATCTTCAAAAATAATATTATTGCAAACTTATATTTCAACAACATAATTAAAATTAAAATATTCATAATGGGTATCCTTATTCGAATTAACGAATATGTAGGCTTAGGGTTATACCATGGGTCGGGCTTTTGTTTATTATTATTGTATTTGGACCTAAAGAATGAATTATTTATGGGTCCAAAATATTTGTTTAATTTGTAGGTAGTTATATTTTTATGTATCTATACAAGATTGTTTGTATTTTTTCCTTTTTTTTTTTTTTTTGGAACTTCTTTATTACTCCATATTATTTAGTAAATGGTGATGGTGAATAATAGTCATTCATTTTTTAAAATAGACATGCATATTTTTTTGAAAGTAAATACACATGCATATATTTATTTATGGATACTCATCTTTAATTCGTGCATCGCACGGGACAAATACTAGTTAATATAAAATTAGAAAAATTTGAGCAAATACCAATTTTGGTCCCGCAAGTATTACTAAAATGACAGTTTTGGTCAACATGTTTAATACTATCAATTTTCATCCACGACTATTATTTTAATACTAATTACTATTATTTTAATGTCAAAACTCATTACGCGGTCACCCCTTTATTTAAGACATGTCGAAATATGAAATTATTAAGGGTATTTTTGTCATTTTTAAATTAATATCCCGATTTGAACATGAATAAAGCGATTTAAGCCCTAAGATCGATCTCAATTTGCAATTCTTCTCCTCAAATTAAGGTAGGATGAGGAAGACAGTTGCGAATTGGGATCGATCTTAGGGCTTAAATCTCTTTATTCATGCTCAAATTGGGATTTTAAGTTAAAAAGGACGAAAATAGCCTTAAAAATTTTTATTTCGACATGTCTTAAGCGGAGGGGTTACCAGCGTGATAAATTTTGACAATAAAACAATAGTCGTTGATAAAAATTGATACTAAAACAATAATCGTAGATTTAAAATTGGTAAGAATTAAACCTGTAAGACCAAAATTATTTTTTTTGTTAATACTCGTGGAACTAAAATTTGGAGAAAACTTCAATTTTGGTTCTATGATTATAGAGGTCTTGTTAATTTCAGTCCTCGACTTTTAAAAGTGTCAATTTAGTACCTTGACTATGCAATTTATGTCAATTTTGGTCACTCTGGTAAAATTGTCGGCCAAATTTTGCCGGAAAATTTTAATAGTTGAAATAATGAGGGTATTTTAGTCATTTCACATCTCTTTTCTTCTTCTCCTGCGAGTCTACCATGTTTCAATTGTTTCCGGCGAGTTCTCCCGGCTTTGAAAGTACAGGCGAAGTGGCTCAAGGCCTCTTTTAAAACCAAAGTGGCCTTGAAGAAAGGAAAACTGAGGAAGTACGAGGTCGCCAGCAGGTCAGAGAAGAAAGGAAAAGGGTAAAATGACTGAAATACCCTCATTATTTTACCTATTAAAATTTTTGGGCGAAATTCGACCGAGAATTTGGCCGGAGTGACCAAAATTGACAAAAATTGCATAGCCAAAGTACTAAATTGACACTTTCGAAAGTCGAAAACTGAAATTAACAAGACTCCTATAGTCATAGGACCAAAATTGAAATTTCCTCTAAAATTTGTATTTGCTCAGAAAAATTTATATTACTAGTTTGATACTCGAGATACGGAGACCATGTTGACCATGGTGGAGGGCTTGTTGGAGTCCTTGTTGAGTAGAATTCTGATTGTGTAGACGGCGACGGGTATGAGGGCTTTGAGCATTTGGATGAAGGAGACAGAGACGTAGATGTAGGCGGAGTTGGAGAACCAGAGGGAGAGGGAGTAGAGGGCGCCGATGGGGATGATGTAGGTTAGGTAGACGCGGCGGGAGAGGGCGGCGGCATGGAGGTCGACGAATCCGGCGACGCGGACGAGGAAGAAGGCGAGGGAGGAGCATAAGGCCATGTGGGTCATGGTGAGGGAGATGGGGAAAGGCCAGTTGTAGAGTTTCCGGTCGAGGATGTACTTGTTATAGACGATGACAGTGAAGGATAGGAAGATCCAGATAGCCACGTAGGTGTAGGAGAGGATTATCTTCTTCACCACTCCATCGGAGAGGGCGGATCCTTTCCCCATTGCAGTGGTTGCCCGGTGGCCGTGGCGAAACAGAGTAGAATTTGGAGTAGTAGAGTACGTGCAGGGAGATATATATCACTTGAATTAGATTAATTGTGTCTAATATATAATAAAATGGATTTCATTTGGGCTTCCTATGAATTTATTTAAGATATTATGTTATATATTTGGTTAATGTTTTATTTTTGATAATTAGGAGTTTTAATAATGACACGATTTTATATTTTATATGCTTGCATTTAATTTCGATCTAATATGATTTTTAAAAAAAATATGTAGATAAATAATCTCTATTCCTCATTCACTTTATTTATATTCCGAATAGAGATATGACTGGTTTGGGAAGTAATGGAGTGCCTATATTCACCACCCCACCTAGCTTATCATTTCAAAATCTACCCTGCCCCACCCTGCGATAAATGTACATTTTTAAAGTGCATACTAATTTTTACCTTAATAACTAGTTTGCACGAATTAGCTAATGTCCATTGTTTATATTTAAATAAGTATTTAGAAATATATCAATGCAAGATTATATAGGCAGGATAAGTTCATACATAGGTAATTGATGAATGTCGAATTTATTTATTTAAATAGGTAATTCAAAATATATGAATTCAAGATAATATAGGAGATTCATTATTGACAGAGTAATGGCTAGCACCCGACCCGGGTTGTCAACAAGCACCTGACTCGGCACCACGTGGAAATCCAACGGACAGAATGCCAATGGGGGAAACATTACTACGGGTCATTTACTACGCCCATTGAAGAAAGAGAAATAAAGGCTCAGCTCCTCATTATGTCTCATTATGTCATTACCGTTAGGGACTTGATATAAGTAGAGCTCTCCTCAACTAGAGGGGGGACACGCTGAATATTCTGTACTGAAATACTGAAGCAATACAATTCGTTATTCTTATATTATATTTCCGGTAACATACTTACCGTCATTGGTGCTTTTATTGAGAGCCTGAGATCAATACTCAAGCAGGCAAATACACACAACTTTCTCTTTCAACAACAAGCTTGAAAGAATGGCACGCTCAGGATCCGGCAGCTCCAACGGTTCCTGCAACTTGAACAACGGCAATGCCTCAGGTGATCTTCGAGACCAAATCACCAACAACCGTGGAGGGGACCTCCGAGAACAACTCAATAATGGAGGAACAAACCAAATCATGAACCTCCAGGGGTGACCGCCGAAGCCATCTAGTAGGCGGCGACGACACTAACTCAGGCAGTACGTGGCGGGATTGCAGGGCCAAGTGCCCCCGCCGCGGTCCCAAGAAATAGAAGTGGAATCCCCACGAACGATGGAAACTCAGCAACAATAGGACACAACCCGTGCGGCGATGGACGCAGGGCGCCACACTAGGACAGGGGCCCTAGAGGAGGAGGGCGCCCAAAGAAGTGGACCGGCCAGACGACGACCAGGACCCTCCCAGTCTGCCCTCGAACGGTTGGGACAAATGTCGTCCGCATGGCAATGGTTGGGATCGCGGGCCGAGGGGTCCTCCACCCGTCTTCTTTACCTGGTTTAGTATTCATGTGATATGATCACAAGTTATACTCCTCGTTATGGGCCTATGAGAGACAGAGTTTGAACGATTGGTTATGTTCTTCTCAATTGTGAATGCGAGGAAGCGAAACGACAGGAGAGAGTTGTAGGAAGAAACTTCCTTTTGGAAGAAGCGAAACAAGCGTAAACGTCAGATCCAACTCAAGCTGCTCGTCCTCGAGGAGAAGCTCTCCGAGCAGGGATACACCGATGTGGAGATCGCTGAAAAGTTAGAAGAGACTCGGAAAACCTTAGAGGCTGCCGCTGCGTCTGGAGCTGCCGGTGGGCCAACTGCTCCTTCTGCTTCATCATCTGAAACACAAACCCACCAAATTGCTGCCTTGAAGGAAAAACAGATGGAGAAATTGAAAGCAGCACTTTGGATAGGAGCTGAAAACGAGAATAAAAAGAAACAGTCTGATCTGGACTCTGTGTTGAGTGATGATGAAGATGATAGGGCAAAAAATCATAAAAATGATGGGGGGAAGGATGCAAGAAGAGGGAAAGATGAGCCTAAGCATAACAAAATGAAAGAAAAGAAGGGAGACCATAGTGATAGTGATAGTGGTAAGGAGAGCATTGAAAGGATGAAGAAAAAGAAGAGCAAGAAAGGTCATAGAGAGTCTGATTCCGAAATTGATCTTAAGAAGAAGTCAAGACAAGCTACAAGTAGAAAATACCATAGCTATTCTGATTCTGAATCTAGTTCTAGTTCTTCCTCGGAGTCTGATTATGAGGATAAACGCCCAAAATCTAAAAAAAGACACAACTCTGATGACAATGCGCAAATGAAACGCCGAAAATCTGATAAAAAACGTAGTTCTGATAATGATGCATCTAATAAAAGGAAAAAATACAAAGCTCAAAAGGGGAAACTGCCTGAATCTGAAACCGACAGTGATGCTAGCAGTGATCATCTTATCAGGAGCAACAATGAAAGTAATTCAGATAACAAGAGTAATTATCGTAAACATGGGCAGACGGATAAGATTAAGTCCAATGAGAAGAGTGGAAGTGGTCATGTTAGTGATTCTGGTGGCAGAGGAGAACCCATGACCAGGAGGGAGAGAGGTGATGCACTAGAGGATGATAAGAAAAAAGAAGTGGATTCTGGATTGGACACATTCAAGAAGTTAGAACAGTTGCGCCAATCGAGAGCAGACATCACAGAGGCAAGAGGAAGCTTGATGCCAACCAATTCGATGAGCAACTAAAAGCTAAGTCAAGAAAAATGAAATCTACTAAAGAAGAAGAGTCTTACAGTACAAAGGTTGAATCTGAAAAACAACATACAGACCGGGATTATTACAGCAAAACATGAAAAACATTGAAGAGAGCATGAAGGGGAGAGTGGCAGTAGACGGAATGAGAGAGATAGAGAATATGATTCTTCCAAGAGAGCAAGATATGAGGATTCACGCTCTACTGGAAGAAGAAGACACTGAAAATACCCGTATATCTTGAAATCAATTTAACACTAAGGATTCTACTTGATTTTAAGTTATGAGACAATTTCGTTATTTAATTAAATCAATTTAATCAACGAATAAATAACGAAATTGAAAGCATAAATAAAGTAAAGACACAGTAGAATTGTTATGCAGTTCGGAGCGCTTCTCCTACGTCTGCGGGGCAACCCACGTCTGCCCAATCCACTAGATGTTCACCACAGAGTATTAATTACAAGAGGTAACTACAAACGGCTCACAGCCTTTACCACTACAACTCTTCTAAAACACCTATTCAGGACTGAACCGTGCATGCCATAACCATCTTTGGTGTAGCGCTTCAGCTGTCACAGGTACTGACTTGAAGTACAGAATTAAATCACAAATATAAAATAATCAGTATTAAGGCAGTGATATAGGAAGATTGCGTAGGAGATCAGAATTTCAGAATTGGCAACTTCCTCTTTCGTTTTCCCTTCATTATATACTGTACGCAAATTCCATTTCCCCACGCCTTGATTGTAGCTTTCATGTGACTTGAATTCTTCTCAACCACATATTCCTTAAATTGAGATCTTCAGACTTGCTCTTGGTTCAACTCATTAAAGAGAAATCTCCACCACACATTTTAGCTTGGTCCAATAATACTAATTACAACTCATACTAATTAGCATTACTTACTAATAAAATAAACTAATAAATTAGCCAATCTAACGTGTACTAATTTGTACACTTACAGACACGATGATGAGAGGTATGAAATGTGTAGAGGTTAATACTTGGTTCTCTGTCAAGTGGCACTTGGGAAAGGCCTGGCCACTGTACTACATCACCTGATGCTTTGGTTAGGGAGTTGCTGTTACAAATTATCTCATTTTTGTATCTGTTTTTTGTTCAATATTAGATGTCGTTCCAACACTGACCAATCTTGGTTGTGTTTGCAAATCCACTTGTTTTCATTTTTCACTATGAATGAATTTCATGGTTTACGTGGAAAAAAATACCGATATACTTTTAAATACAAATCACGCACCTTAAGAAGGAAAACAACGCACTTAAAGCTTTAGGCTGACGCGCATTAAGTTTCAATAACTGACGCACCTTAAGTTTCAACAATTGACGCACCTTAAGCACACAAACCACGCACCTTAAAAACGAAAACCACGCACCTTAAAAAAAAAAATCACGCACCTAAAACTTTAGATCGACGCACTTAAATTTTCAACACTTGACGCACCTTAAGCCACACGGCCCACACAGTACAAAAACTACGCACCTTAAATTTGACCTAGATGTAAAAAAGACCAAATTGCAACCGTGTGTTTTTTTAATCACTGTTAATTCTGGACGTTGATTTAGGCAAGATCAATGACTCAGATTTAACCGCACAACCGCACATGAATTGAATTATATATATATATATATATATATATATATATATATATATATATATATATGTGTGTGTGTGTGTGTGTGTGTGTGTGTGTGTGTGTGTGTATATCAAGTGAGGTCAAGTTGCCACATGAGGTCTGTGGACAATTGTGAACCTTAGGATTAGAGAGATATACAGTTGCGATTGCACAATATGAAAGATTAAAAATTTGAGAGAGATGCGCTGTAACATAAAAGTTAATTTGACTGGGGTTAAGAAGGTAAAAACGCAGGCAGTTGTGCAAGTCTCTTGATGGTAACTGCGAGAAACCCGCATCCATAACCTACAGCTTCCATCTTAATGAGTGTTTATTATGCACTACATCCCCCAAAAATCCCATGGCTAGCTGTTCCTGAATATCGTAATCATACGAGACTCCCTAGTCTTCCCTCCTTGATGAATTAGATTCTATACCCAATTCCTTACCCTAACGAATACTTACTAGTGTAGCCGAGTGATCACCATCCGCAGCCATAGCCGACGGTTCACATGACGAAGCCAACAGAGGGCATCGTTAGCAGTGGCAAAGAAAATAGGTATGTATCTATCCCATTTTGTTTTGTTTGTATGTGATGATTAACACTAAGCCGCCATGGGCGTAGGTTTAATTTATTGAAAAAGCACGTGAATCTTGAATGCAAGATTTAGCTTTAAGAATTTTAATTTTATTTCAATTATAAGGCTGGACTAGATGCAAACATACTCCAGATATAATAACGAACATAAAATAAATAGCAGTAAAAGAAAGCATGCACCAGGATATGTTCACGCAGTTCGGAGCCTCACTCCTACGTCTGCGGGGCCAGTCACATCAACCAAAATCCACTATGATAAAAACAGAGTACAAGAGGAGAGTTAATTACACACTAAAGTATAACCTATAACTACTCCAGAACCTACTCCAGTGAATCCGATGTGCAGGCGATCTTCATTGCTTCATGATCTGATTATGAGCCTTTCTTCACACTCAACAGTACATAATATATTTGGTATAGATGAACCAAGATTTTCAGAGTAAAGCTATGTGAAAGAGAGCGTAATTGAATGCTAATTAAGGTAGCATTATATATAGGTTGTAAAGGATGTTTTGATCCTCAAAACATGCACTCTTCTCTTCCTTGATTTTGGCTACTCCATTAGATTTAGATCTCCCTATTGATAGGGTTTTGAATAAATAATTTGAAGAAGCTTCATACTTCCTGGATTACTTTCTTGCGCTAATCCAGTCAACTACTCCAGACGTTGTGACTAATCCAGCAACTAATCCAGAACTACTTTGACAACTAATCTAAGCCAATATTAAGAGGTTTAAATGTGCAACATATTTACACTTACATTTATGAGTCAATTACTTTGTGTAGTGGTGGGGGAGTAGCATAATTGAGCGTCGAATTAAAGGGTAAATAAATCCTGTTTTCACAACATTTTCATGGTGATTGTTTGCGTCGGTGCACTAACGATTGATGTGGGTGTGCGATTAAGGAATTGGCAGTGTGAGTGTGCAAAAACGCCAAGGTAATGGTTGTTTAAACTGGCCGAGGTAGGGAATGTCGGCGACGGTCAAAACGTGTGTTTAGGAATTTCCTTTATGACAATTTTTTAGGTTGTACATGTGCAACCATATGTGATCTTGACAAATGCTTAATCTTCTAGCTTGATAATTTTTTTTGAGCATTCTACGTTTGTCGTAGTATGTATTTGTGGACCTTGATTGTGCATTTTTTGGTTTGCACGTGTAGTATTTTGTTTTGAGCATTTATTGGCAGTGTGGATTTGAAATCCTAGTGTGTGCATTGTGGTTTGTTTATAATGAGCATATGCAGCCAAGAAGCAAAAATCCACTAACAATTAGCAAGGTTAACCTGGTGGACTCGACCCCGATGACGATTTTGAGTCCCCTCCCGTCCAAGTAGCAAGAACGCAGCAGAATGAAACTAACTATTCCACGGCATGTCAGCAGAATGGATGTAATGCAACACATTTGGTTATTGAGACAATGAAATGTGGACATGTCTTTAAAAAAAAAAAAAAAAATTTGACCGTGGTGATATGAGATAAAGATAATTTG